CCACACATTCATGCCTTTAGTACAAATCATAATGCATAGTGCCACAACAACAGATGTAACACATGTACATCCAAATGAGCAAAAATCACACAGAAAAGAAACAGAGAGAAAGGTCAAGCAGCAGTCATCTAACAGCTGCTGCCTTTTTTTTTTTTTTTTTTACTTAAATGTGTCAGGTTTTCAGCATCTGTACATGACTATTCCTCAACTTTCCCACAAGCCAGTGTTCACATATCTCAAAAACCACTCTGAGTACGGTGACACATCTGTTGATATTGATAATGTGAAGACAATATATACTTTGGGATTTTAGCTATTGCAAAATTGTGCTACAAATGATTTGTACTGACATGCTGTATGAATTTATTATACTGTTCTAGCTGATTTCATGCCTCTACCAATTTAGTCATTGAACGCACTGAAGTTTTCTTGTGCATAAAATATCTTCTGACAGGACCAATGTTTATCCTTAAAACATGATCACTTTCCTCTGATATGCAGTGGCATTGAGGTAATTTACTGAAAATACTGTGGCATTTGACTTTTACACCATTGCACGGACCTATCCATAGCACATGTTCCACAGAAGTGGATTTGCAAATAGAGAGCTGCAAGCACCCAGATGATATTGCTGCAAACATGCTGTCATTCCACAGGGGAGTATTTCATTTTTTTTGTATTTTTGGAGCAGGGGATCCTGTTGCATGTCAATGAACTGAGCTAAACATGCATGACAAGTGGTGGTGTGTGGGTAGAGGGAGGTAAGGGGGAGTCAACCCCACGGTCAGAGATCTGCAGAAGATGCATGCAATAGACCGCCACACTACTTTATCTACAAGGCCCCTAATTGTGAGGGATGCTGAGGAACACATGTTAGGAAAAGAGGAAGGGGAAGGGGTGTCAGATGTCAGCAATGTGCAGGCATATGGTTCCTACAAGTTGGGTTACATAAACTGAAAATGACACCAGAAATCAGGATTGCTATGATGAACTTGTGAGAACTGCATGATAGTGCACAATACTGTACCCTTCCCTCATTAAAGGCACTAAACAGGTAATTACAATGAAGGACAGACCAACAACGGATCAACTATTGCTACACCTGTCGACACTTAAAATTTTAAATCCCACCACATAAATCTTGATTAAACTTACTAATTGCGCCCCTCACATTTAGAAACAATATGACATTAAGAGGACATCATCATTAACTGTCAACACCATTGCACCATCAAATACTGACATAAATTGGACCTGAATGAGCAGGACATACTCTTATTTAATTAAAACCTACAGTCCAGTCAGACACTGTTTGAAGCGAAGGTGACCCCAAGGGGTCATTGAGGAAATCTCAATGACCTTTTAAATTCGAAATATGAACAATAAAAGAAAGATAACAGCTTGGCTGTCTTTGCTTATTGGGAAGGAGGCTTTAACAAAGCATGAGATGATGTGAGGTAACACTACTGACCTAGCATATTATTCCTGCTTAAAAGGGCTCACAACCTTCAACTCAGCCATTGTGTGGGGCCATCTCATCAGGAATGCAACACTCATGCACACACTCAAACACCCACACAACCCTTCCCCTTTCAATTCAAATCCCACCACACTTCCCCCCCCCTATTCCTCTATTATTCCTTCATTATAAACTTGTCCTTCTCTTGTGCTCACAGCAAATATGTACTTTATTTTGTGTATATTTTTCCCCATGTACCCTCAACGTAACCCACTGTCTGCCTTGGACATTTGCGTCAAACCAACTTGAGTAAACAGAAAGATGGAAAAGGCTTAAAGGTATCAAAAGCAGAACACCCCCCACCCCCCCACCCCCCAAGAAGGGGTTGACCTTGTACATGCAAGATACCACTATCACTTAGGAGATGCTGTGGTTATTGTTAGGAAAAATGGTGCCCATCTGTTTGTTTGTTGCTTGCTTTACAGTGAGAAGACGCATTGTACAATATGTGGAGCATACAGTCCAAATTAAGGCACCCTCACTGAAAAGCCACCACTTTCCAAAAAACAAGAAAATTATCACTCTCATCCTAACATGATTTGCATTCTCTGTTATTTGGTTGAAAATTACAACAGCAACAAATTTTGATGAATCACATCGCTTACTAAAGGTTAAATGAAAGAGAGTGTATGACAAAGAACTGATTTAATCAAAAATTATAAAACTGTCCACTTGTCCTCCAGAGAAACTGGTCTGATACGGTTTGACAAATGTGTGAATAAAAACTAACTGATTAAAACACTCAATGAAATACAGTGTCTTCAATAGCTTTCTAAACTCCTTGTCATTTGCCCTTTTGCGAAAGTTTTATTTCCTACATCTCTCTTTTACATCTGTGTCTTTAATAGGAATACAAAATCAAAAGCATGCACGGACACAAATTTCCTCCTGCTGCCATATCAACCCTTAACAGCATCACAGACATGTTTACATGTATGTTAGATCACAGCCTAGTATGAAAACAAACATTCAATCACCTCTGATGTGGTATAAGATTAGAGTCAGGTGAGTTGTGTTTGTCATGATGATTAGTTATTGAGAGTGTGAGAGAGAAAGTTTGTCTGTGTGGCTCCCATCTGCATGATAATACACATAAAGTAGCATTAGTTTGTACTGTATGAGCACTCAGTTGCCAACCCAGTCCCAGCACTCTGTCACACAGAGCCGATCACATTTGCATGTTGTAGCACTGAGTCGGGAGCAGATTGGAGGAGCAGCAAATGGGCTGAATAATATCATCCGACAATCACTGTCAATTATTTCGGCAGTTGCGTTGCATCTAAAACATTATATTTGCTGCCGAGTTTGATTTGTCAGGTTGCGATGGAGGTTCAGTCATTTAAATGTGACGTAGTGACTGCTTTAACAACTGCGTGCTGAGTGAATGGAAGAGACAGTAATAGTGTCAGGGACCATGCAAATCACCTGTAAAGGAAACGCTGTAAATCACAGTGTGAGATGGGCACAGAGCGGAGACAAGCAGCAATAACACACAGCACATGTACTATTCAAATGCGAATATCATTATTGTACAAGTCATAAACCATTACCAACATAGTATCTGCCAGATGAGGATACTGTGCATTATGTGATATTCAACTGGTCTATCTCATAGTCAGTGAATGAAATAAAGGGTTGACAACAAAATAACCTAATCAAGACAAGAACAATGTGTTTAAAAGGCTGAAAAAGTAAAGGGTTTTCTAATCTGCTAACATTTTAATTTTTTCTCATAAATGGGGGTCATTACCTAAACACTGTCTACCCAGTCATATCTGTTATTGTCAGTAATATACATTTATAAGCGGGCTTATTTTCATACAGCTCTATGTATATTTTCCGCTTTTTTTCAGTCTTTTCGCAAATAAATAAACACAAGTCGGGAATTGGAATTTTTACGCTGCAAACGCTCCATCAACTGGGGCATATGCGACGAATGACACTAAAACCGGCTTTAAATAACAGAATGAAACCAGGGATCGACCTCTCCCTCTCTTTCCCTGCCTTGAAACTGGTGTCTCCAATCTTTTCCACAGCCAAATGACTCCTAACTCTGCTGAGTGCAGCATGGGTCAGGCAGCTAGATTGAAACCAGGGTGTCTGGTTAGTGTTAAACTTTAACAGGAGATTTTGGATGTCTGATTTCACTCAACAGGCCAGTTGCTACTCTCTGTTTCAGAGTGCCCTGCAGTAATGCCTTGCAGATATGCTAGTGGGGCAACAGTGGGGAAATATATATATAAATATACATATATATATGTATACAGTAAAACATAATTCAACGTTAATAATTTGAAAGGCTGTAGTTTATAATATTTTGACAATATATTTATATCAATGAAGGCATTGAAGACAAAATATTACAAACACCTCTCACACACATACAATTCACAGCACCACAAACTAACTATAGACTCCACAAGGACCATGAGGTTGAAACTACACCTCTCTAAAAGAGTTCAAAGAAAAATGTATTATAACCTTAATGGAGACACAATCTACTGCAGGGCTGTTGTATGAGACTGCATTAGTTTAGCTAGGCATGCCGAATAAACTGCACCAGATAATATGTCGCTATGACACCCTGAGGACAGTGTCATCGATACTCAAGTCATCTTACTGCTCCACCCCACAGTAAATATTTGGTGAATTAGGTGCAGCATACCTAGTCTGACACCCATATACATACAAACATGCCACACATGAGCTCTAAAGACTTGTTAATATCAATTAATAAGTGAATATCTACAGCTGCATTTGAGGTACTAAACTGCAGAGTGGAAAAGAAAATCATTCACAGGGAAAACTACCCTGTGAATATCTCAAAAAGCAGCCTTCTTCAAAAGGTACATTAAGAAAAAAAAAAGGTACACAACCCACTAAATATTTCACGTATTCTTAAATATTGAGATTTCATCTTTCTTTCTAATTAAAAAATATATCACACAATGGGTGGCCGTCCTTGTTCTTTTTAAGCGACGGTGGATTGGTTGTGCTTTTTGAAAAGTAAGGCAAGCAGAGTAATCACATTAGCGAACAATCTTGTTCATGTTCAGTTCCACAGGAAGCTGGTTCAAATCCTCTCATCAAATAGGAAAAACTGTGGGGGGAAAAGATTTGAATCTTTTGAATTAGAGGTGCCCCCCTCCCCTCATCAATAGTTAATACTCTTGTGGCCCTGATCAACAAAGCCCAAACTGTAAATGTATTTAAAAATCAGCCACAAGTCTAGAAGTAATAATTGCCTGATTCCAGTGACAGCATGTTTTAATTATATCCCACTTATGATAAGAGCACAGATGTTTTGAGAATACTAGATACAGTGCTCCACAATGGCAACCCATTGTCTCCTATGAAAGTTGCTCACTCAGTGCATATGTTGGCCCTAAGACATATGCGTGATTTTATAGTGTATGGCATTGGTCTGACATCTCACCTCTGGCACTGTCTTCCTCCCTCCCCAGCCCTGGTGTGTTGCTGCAAGTGTAGGTAGGGGTGGTCTCCTCCTCCTGACTTGGGGTTGTTCCAAGTGGGAAACTGACAGGACGAGAGCTGGTGACCGAGCTGGATGGTCGGGAACTCGCACAGTTCTGTAAGAAATGAGACAGTGGCGTTAGCTGAAGGAGATCACTGTAGGGTTTTACACCTGTTAAAGGAACACACAGGTTATCTTACCTGTTATCTGATAAAAACAAAGATATCAAGTTTATTTATACTTTACTAGTTGATCACTGATTATGTAAATTAGGAACACACATCTTTTTTTTATTCATCACAAGGATTATCAGCCTAATTCCGACTTCCTCTCTTGTTACACTGGTATGTGTTTTACATTTTATAAGTAAATTATGTTTGCATTAAACACAGTTCATAAAAAAAAAAACATCACAGTTTGAAGTCAACATTGTGTAAAAACACAGACGAATAACAAACACTGTGCACTGAAGACATCCTCATCAGTTAGAAGGATTAATTGAGGATTTTAGATTTTCACTTGTGAGTTTTGATAAGAAAAAAAATCTCTACCAATAGTATACACTTCATTATTAAGCAGTGCATTTGTTAATTATTATTATTATTATTATTATTATTATTATTAATATTTAAAAGATGGGCTATTGTAGACTACTAGATTGACTTTCACACAATTCCATCACCAGACCTTGTTTCACACATGCATCTTCCAGCCACACCAAAATAAAGGGCAATCAGATAAAGGGCTGCAAAAAGCTCCAGGGTCTCTAGTATTACATACTGTACTTCTATTAGGCAGGAATACTTCAATGGCAAACAACTGGGGCCTGCCATCCTGGCTGCTTTTGTGTGGTGTTGATGTGACATCAAGACTGATTCCAACCAACTCCTAACTTCCTATATCTTGTCAAAACTTGAATGAAGATCAAAAAAACTAATCCGCTTCCAATTTATATCTATATTTCAGTGGTGTCAGGGGCATGGAGTATTCACAGGGGGTTGTTTTTTATTTGGGTCCTGCAACTGACAGCTTTATTTCACAAAGCAATCTGGCTGTGTGTGTACAAGAGTGAGGTCAGGGTGGGTCAGGAGGCACTTGGTATCAAACAGGCAAGCTACACTGGTCAAAGTGGCTGTGTGTGTGTGTGTGTGTGTGTGTGTGTGTGTGTGTGTGTGTGTGTGTGTGTGTGTGATTGTGTGTGATTGTGTGCATGTATAAAACCCCACCCCCTGGGGATAAAAAAACTGTGTGTGTGACCCACGCCCATGTAGAGGGCTACTACGTGGAAGAGGGCTAAAGAGGTCGACAGAAGTGTGGAATTAAAGAGGGGAGATTAGGTTCAGTGGAATTTATGTGAGAGGTCTTCTAGGTCAGAGGTGCGTCATGCCACTGAAGAGCAATATATAGTTAAATTGTTTCTGCTATATTTAAATGATTTTCATCTGATATGTTGTGATGTGGACTGTTAAATAACTGTTATTGTTCTGTATCAGTGTGTTTTACCTTCCTGTCTGTGTCACACATGATCATCCAAGAGATGTTGGAATATCTGTAAGATCAACTGCAGGATGTCTTTAGCCTTAGCAAGCCTTTGTATTGGTTGCTAATAGCGCTTTCGATCATGGAATAAAAGGGACAAGAAAAGTTTTCAAGAGATCTTTCTTAATTGAAATAACTGATCTAAATTCTTAAATTGAAGTTGAAATTGAAGTGAATTATCTCCTTGGGTTAACCCTTCAATTGTTGCGAATAATACAACAAATAAACCCCTCTATCTCCGACAAGTACCATTTGTCTTCAAATGACGCCATATGCAGTAACACTACCAGCGCCTCTTTATCCCTCACCTAGTGAGGCACGATACCCAATCCTATGTTTTACAACAAGGGGATATATGGGGGCATGTGCGGTCATCTAGAGCCAAATGTCTCCTATCTAACCAAAGGACAGGTAGATACAGTATTTCAAGCAGGATTTATGGCACGAAATAGCATTAGCTAAAAACCGTCAGGCAGCAGTGATGGCTAAAAAACGCATTCTGGTAGCGGAACCCGGCAAGATTGGAAAATTGCCACCACGGGTCGGGAGAGGAAGCAGTAAAAATGATGGTAAATGTGGGGGCCTCACTGATAACATGAGCAGCCAATATATCAGACCGCACCTGGTGGTAAGAGACCCCCGGGGGGGCCCCCTCCGACCAACACGCTTTCACAAACACACAGACAGAAACACAAAAACACACACATTAGTCACATACACACTTTAATTTATTTATTTTATTTCTTCCCATCCTTATAGTGTCCATCTCTGAGGTGCCGTCAGATATGGTTTCATTCCTTCTTCAAAGACCTGAAGTGCATGAGGTTGGGGAATATTGGGGGGTGGGGGTGGGGTCACATATGTGTGGGTCAGGGGTGTGTGCCGCCATAAAGCGCTACACAACAACATGGAAAGAGGAGTGGAGTTAATGTGACCACTCATAAGGGACAAGATGCACTTTGTCTGTGTGTGTGAATGTGTGTTGGTGCGTGCGTGTGAGATGGCAGCGGCAAAGAAGTATGGAATAATGAGAATGGTTGCTTGTCAAGGAACCAGGGTCTATCATTGTCCGAATGTGTTTGTGTGTGGGGTATGCGCATGTTTGTGTGTGCTAGACTATTATCTACTTTTAAAGTACTTTGCATAAGCTATGATCTTCCTAAAGACACACACACACATGCACGCACAAACATAGACACCCATTGACACACACACTAACACACGCAACCGCAGCATCCTACCATATCAGCCAAACAGCAGTGTCCAACAAGGTATAAATACTGGCCTGACACTTTAATGTCAGGGGACGGCTTGTCCTGGATTAGAAACTTGTAACCCACCGCGGCGCTTGACATTGCTGGGATGAAGGTGCTGCAATAGGCAGAGTGAGGAAGGGGGGGGGGCTATTACGAAGGGTCCGCATTTGATGTATAAGGGCATCTAACATGGACTGTCGACTAGTGAGAGGCTACCAGATGTACAATGTTGCTTTGTGGCCAGCTTTCATTGGCATTGCTGGAGTAGTGATTTTTTTTCCATGAGAAGCAAAAGCTGTAAGGAAAATTGAGTCTGTTGCACCAGTGTGTTGCAGAGACACACAGACACACACACACACACACACACACACACACACACACACACACACTTATTCACAGGAAAATAGAGGATTACGTACTGAAAAATTAAGTGCTTTTCTCCTCTCCTTGATCCTGTTGACCGTGCTCCGAACCTGAAAGAAAGAGAGAGAATGGCAAAGAAAGAGATAAGTGTATGTGACAAAGCGCTCAGTGAAACACACTTACAATGAATCAAAACAACAAATCTTTCACCGTAAACGGCCTGTGAGCACCCAAAGTATAAAATAGAGAAAGGAGAAAAGAGTGTGGAAGGGAAATAACAAATTTTGAGCGTTAGCTTGCAGACAGGATTTGTGTGTGTGTGTGTGTGTGTGTGTGTGTGTGTGTGTGTGTGTGTGTGAGGGTGTTCCAGTATGTCCCAGTAGCTAATGGGACTTGAAAGTGACACATAGAGCTGGCAAACTAAGGAGACGACTTCAAGCTATCATCTGTCAACATAGAGCGCCGGGACCAACAAATGGAGCTATTGGAGGAGAAGGGACCGCCCTAGCAGAACAGATTACATTTTTACACTCCGGATGAAACAGTGTACTGCACACCTTCATTTAACACATACAATACCAGACAAGAACTTTATAGATTTTAGAGACATTAGGTATACGTACATACAATTTCAGTATATAGTATAATCTGACTTACCCTCAACCCTTAGTGTTTATTTACTAAATTCATTAAAAACTAAAACAAAAAAAAACAAAACAAAAAAAAATATTACACTTCTGGAGAATTTCATTATAAATTAGATAAGCAGTGAATTTTGAAATACTGTGGATGTTAATGCCAATCCAAGACATTTGCTTACAAAAATGTAATAATTTGGATGACCTTTAATTATATTTAACTGACTAATTACATGTATTTACTTTAACTTTGCAATTTAACATATCCAAGTGTTTATGACTAATTAATATCACATATTTCATGTAAATATTGTGTGATTAATGTTACTTCATTAAAGACAATAATGAAACTACTTAAAGTCTCAGTCCACTGAATAAAACTCTGCATTAACTTCTGAAAAACTGTTATTTGTACAAAATATTAAAAAAAATGTGGAAAAAAAAATCACTTTCAAAAATGTGCTTGTAACTTTATGGTAGTACAATTTCACTGATCATTCAATAATATGTTACATATTATATATATATTTATATATACATTTTAGTACAGTGATTATTAGTAGTATTGCTAGAAATACAATTAAAATTTAATAATTAAAAATTAAAATTCAATCTCAATCTCAAAATTATATCCTTCATGAGGAGCAAAGGATGAATGACAACAATACAGTGACATATTGAAATTAATATGTTGTCCCTACAGTTGTGAATGAATGCATTATTTTCCTGTAAAACATCATGATCCTTAATTTAGAAATAACAGCATTTGTTATTTTAATGATTCATATTAGTCACTCTAACACTATTTTTATTTTAAAATGGGCGATATTACTGTAGTATTACATTTTCATATTATTACATCTTTATATTAATATGTTTTTACCATAAAGAATATTTACAATAACAAGAACAGTATAATAATCTGTTTAACTTAAATAAAAGTACATAGAGAACAGCAGAAATTACTCATTGTGTCAGTATTTCAGTTAGTTTTGTTGAAGTCTTCCATAAAAAGCCTCTAGCACTTATGAGGTCTGTATGTGTGTGGTGTGTGTGTGTGTGTGTGTGTGTGTGTGTGTGTGTGTGTACAGGCATTTGTTCGTGCACGTTGTCAGCACTCACTGTAAATTTGTAGCGGCTGGGCACTCATCACTACAGCCCGTCCCAGCCCAGCCCACCACGTTAGTGAATATGCATTATGGCTTATGGCTTCATTAAGTCGCGGCGTGTTATAAATTATGACACCACACTGAGCACACACACACAGTCTCAGAGACAGCATGTGTCTACAGAAGGTGTTTTGCATACATACCACCGTTGAAGGGCCACATAATGAAGAGAGCCTGAGCCTTGTGACAGGGCAGATTCAACAGCAGTATCATGTTTTCACAACCCTCCTATTATATCTGACAAAATCTGCAGCAGTCCTTCGACACGGTGCAGATGTTAGAGAGACACCGTCTTAACATTATTTAATGGGGAAAGTAAGTCCTGGGGATTTCATTGATATCAAAAGCAGCCGGCGTGCTGAGGCAATTACATGACACAATTTAATTAATCATTTGACAATGAGGGGAAGGGCATTGTTTTAGATGATCGTTATGTGTTTAAGAGGTTTTGCGCACACTCAAGGTTTCGCCATGATGCAAAACGTGGTTCCCCATGTAAATGGGCGCTAAGCGATTACCATATGAAAGCAGTGCGCCCGACAACACCTGCCGACATCCTTGGAGCTGATGGAAATAAAAGGTCATCAAAGCGTGGGATTACAAGGTGACCACCAAGGAAAAGCTAATTGCAATGAATAATGGAAAGCTATTGTCAGGTAATTAGCAATTAAAACGCTGCATTTTGAGTGTAATAGCAGCAGCAGTCTGTCTTCCATGCCATATTTGTAATTACTGAGCCTGGAAACCAGCCTCATGAATGGAGCTCTTACTGACTTTGAAGCACAAGCTAATTCAACACCTTTCTTTAGCATATCAAAGTCAAATTTATTCTCACTAAGACGGTTAAAGACTAATTTGTTCTACCAGGTTAACAACTACCAGCAACTTTAGTTGCAAAGTTTTTTCCTCACTCTTTAGAATTTGTTTCAATGAGCTGCCTCATTCTCTAATACTTTGCATGCCTTCCACATGCTCATCAGCTGTCAACAATCCTCGTCAACAGACGCAACTGAAACACAAAAAATGAAACATAATGTCACAGCACGGTATAAACTGTCCACTTGATCCTTTATGCCCACAGTGTCTGGAGATGCTGATCAGCATTTGGAGTAAATGTCCATCCATACTGCTTTGTGAAGCAGGTGGCCAACTGGTGTGTGTGATAATATAGTCAAAGGAGGGTTAAAGTTCCACAGCCATCAAGGCTGGTTATCTTAAATGAATACAGACATTAGAGGAACCTCACTGTCTCACGTTGTCCTCTCCTTGCCACTCTGATTACAGGAAAGAAACTTTTTTTTTTTGATTGTTCTCATTCAGCATTTTGGTAATTTTTCTATTGTGCAAATATCTTCTTTTAGGTGTCAGGGGAGGTGCAGGGAGGGTGAAAATCCAGTGGTACTCTGTGTCACAAGCTAGAGAATAAGTAACAAGTCAAAGATACAAAAAACCCAGGAAGGTGGTCCGAGTTAAGACAGAAAAAGAAATGTGCAAAGATGTGAATAATGGCATTACCTTTTTTTAAACAAATGTTAACAAAGAAGTGTGGTCCTTTTGAAAACCAGAACATGTACATGAGCTGCTCACAAACAGTGAGGAAGCCAGGGTCAAGGACAACTTGAGTGTAAGAAAGAAATTCCCAAGCACTAAAAAAGCAACTTAAGCAAGAAAGCAGTGTTGATTTATTTTACAGTGTGAAGGGTCAGCCCTCACTGGCTCTACATTGTTGGTGCGTTGCCTATGACTCAGGCACAGCTCTTCATGCTCTTGAGAAGCCATGGATGAAGAAATGGAAGAGAAAGGGAAAATAAAAAAAGAACAAGAGATGCAAATGTTACATGAGAGATGTCTTCTTGAATGGTCAGACAGTAGTGATGATGATGACAGAAAGTTAAAATAAAGATATGTAAAGTAAAACAGATAAGTAGAAATAGAAACGGGGAGGAGGGTGGACTGGTGTAATATTGCCCATTATCTTTGAAGTAACAGAGCTATATGTTACGCAGCTCTTGTATATGATGATGATGACCTTGAACATTCAATCAAAGCAACAAAAGGCAAATAAAAAAATGAGGTATGTTTGTATTCATCAGAACTGAAGACTTAACCATTCCATCAACAAACAAGATACATTAACTCTGGCATAGCGTTTTGTTTTGTTGGTGTTTTTTTTTTTTTTTTTTTTTTACAGAATTTACAGTTTTTTTGTTTGTTTGCTTGTTTTTTTACTGTGATATTAATAGTAATTCTTTCTGTATGTGGCATATCGCATGGAGCTCCAGAAAACTGAGCATGCATTTTGCAGAATTGTGTTTTCAGAGATTATTGTTAAATCAGGGGCAAAACTTTTGTGTCTTGCATTGTTAACTGTGCTACAAGGCAAATCCTTTTATACTTTCTCTTTTAAGTCTGGAATGGGAAGTGTCTAAAAATGAGAAATGGAACCCCAAGTTCAGAAAGAAGTGCTGTATTTTAAGAAGGCTCAGATGCATTATCACCTATGCATGTTTAAAGTTAACCCTATTTACATACACTAAGAGCCATATTTGACCAAGAGTGATCTTCATGACTCGAGTCTCATCCATTAAAGCGTATCTCTCTGTCTTTTGCCACTCACCCACCCTCCACCCCCACACAGCTACGGTGTATCTAAATGGTAATAATTTAGCATCTCAATACTATATTTCCTCACTCCTTCATTGCATATTGTTGGTTGCATATTGTTTTTCTTATTTTTGTCCTACTATGGTTACTGCTTGGGGCCCTGCGAAGCCCTGGCCAGCGGCTTTGTCAGGATGCTAAATGGAGGGCCGTGAGTTTAAAAACTTAAAGAGGCAGTGAAATATTAGCCATTGTGGGTGAGGAATGAGTGGCTGAGAACCGCGGCGTGTCAGTGTTTAATGGTCGGACTCGGATGCATATAAGTTAGTCCAAGCATGAAGGGCAGTGGGATGCTCGCGTGGAAACGATGTCCCCTCCTCTCCTTCCCATCCCTCCTCCCATCCACAGACACACGTTCACACACATACACACCCGTGCTCTCACACCCCACCCACACAGCTTTTAAGCAGGGAGCCCATCAGAAACTTGTCATTTCTCTCATTCACTCCGACAGCCTTGAGACACAATGCAGACTTACCTCTGTGTTGTACACCCCATATATCAGGAAGATGAACAGGCCCTGCAAACACAGACAAAGAAAGAGAGAGAGAGAGAGAGAGAGAGAGAGAGAGAGAGAGAGAGAGAGAGAAAGAGAGAGAGAGAGAGAGAGAGATAGAAAGAGAGAGAGAAACAAGAAGGAGGACAAAGTTGTTACAGTTGTTTTCTCTCTTATCCTTTCGTGAGGAAAAAAAAGATCAAAAGTATGGGATAGTTTGATTCGTTCTCTATGCCGGCTATGCAGAGCTGATGTGAGACTGTAGTGAAATGTAATGAGAGAAGAAGCAGGACTTGAAAGAGTACAACTTCTCCAAACTGGGCCACCTCCGTGAGGCTCAGCTTGCGTTTGTTTCGTCTACAATACTCGTGCTCCTCATCCCAGCCCCCACTGAGCCATCAAAGGCTCAAACCCAAGGTTCCACACAGCTCTATCGAAATAAAAAATCTCAAGTGCCTGTGTTTAGTCTGTGTTGTTAGACATGGAAATACACATATATGAGTACTAACAAACATGTATACAGACACACAAAGTCCAGACATTCACAAGCATATGTAACAGACATAGATTGCCATAAATTAAGACGACACAAAGACGATATGAACACAAACACATATTAAAAGACACACACGTACACACACGCACGCACATAAAGAGACCAACTCAGGCCAGACGAGACTATCAAGGAAAATCATTGGAGGAAAGCAGAGAAAGAGAGAGACATAGGGAGCATAATGAAAAAAATGACACATAAAAGAAGATATTTCATGTTCACAAAACTCCCCGGCTAGTACCGAGGGCCCAAGAATGCCATGCCCTTGGATGCATAAAGGCTGCATTTTTGGTCACAGAAAAACAGTTATTTGTCATTTCAGTCCACTGTGGCATCCATTGAATGTACAAGCTGTGCATTCACCTTCAGGCCATAATGTAATCCTCTTGCTTCAATGGAACTGAGCTACGCCACAAAAGATGTACCTAGAAGAATGAAAAGGCAGGCAAAATCCAGATACAGTAGATTCTTTGATAAGGTAGCCATACAGTGATGTGGGGCTATCTAACACACACACTTTAAAAAAAACTTTTTAAAAGTACATGTCTCCCCTTTCACCGCTCAGAATGCGTCCGCGTTGCATCTTCAAACGAGGGTAAGGCCACATCCTGAGGACAGGCGGCCACTACCTGGTCAATGCATCAATCAAGTTGAGTTTGGAGCATCCAATTTTTGCCAGTGGGAGATCTCAATGCATCACCATTGACAACATGATTTGGGGGCCCATTCAAAGTGACAGGCTGACGATGGTCGACGATGACGACCTCTAGCCCAAGCTACTGCCCATTCACCTCCTAGTTGCTGCTCTCCTGTCCTCCAGGGACTGAATTGCCCTGTCTGTTGGGCTGTCAGGTGATACCTTAGGACATCCATCCTCTTTAAACTGACAATTTCGCTGGTCTCTGACATGCTGAAGACAACAGGCATAACAAGGGATCTCAAGCTGAGATATCCGATTTGATCTTTACATTTCTAACTTTCAATTGCGTGTTACGTTGGCTACAACCTAATGACAGTGAGGGGATAGATAAGGTGGTTTACCAATACCAAATAAAAGAGCTAAAAGTTGCATAAGTGCTACTATAGCCGAAATTTCTGACTTTCATATTTCATCTTTTAGTTCATACTTCAACTCCCCACTTCCACTAAGCAAGTATTCACAGTTCCAGCTGTTGGGACACTGACCGTGACACTTTACTAATCAACTTTGCTCAGATATAATTAACTGACCTTTTAACTGCAAATGTTACACATGTTTTATGATTTTAGTAGGCAGGCCACCATAATATCAAACAAACTCAGACACGATATTCACAAGATGGAGCTTAACGCACCCCTGAGCCTTATACTCCTAATTGCCATCAAGGAAGCTCGCTCCTTTGTCATTTTCATATGTGATAAAGGTATTCCATTGAAAAGTTTAAAGTAACTGAAAACCACTTCAAGTACACCATTACCAACAAAAAAAGTTGTAATTACAATCACAACCTATGATGTTCATTGACAATTATTTAGAAGTTCAAGCAAAATATTGTACTTATTGAAAATATGTTATATGATATAAAAATATACTGTTATCATTTACTCTTTTCAAACATACATATACACACATGTACACAAGCACACCAATACAATAACAGACAGTGGGTGGTTAATTTGCAATACATACCCTATTGTATTGCATTAGAATTGCAATTTCCAACTTATTGTTGCAATTTGATTATCATGTTTTTGATCATTCCTCTTATTTGCAATTAATCTTTTGTTGTGTAGTGAACAAAGTGGGGAGAACATACTGTGCACATTAGGAAAAATGATCCATTAAAATATAATTGAGTTAAAAATAAGTGGCTGCACAATAATAATGATGGATTGTTTAAAATGTTAATTCATTAATATTCCCACTAAAAACAAACAGAGACGAAAAATGGGGCGCATTATTTAAATGCATGTGTGCTTTTCTAAACCCAGTCCTGTTTCTTTTGAACTCTGCGGCAAATGCTACAAATTTATGCAAAGAATGAACACAGTTGCTTTCAAAGTATTGCTATACTGTACATCAAACAAGGGAGCATAAATTAATTAGCATCTAGCTAATTAGGGAACAATTGTATGTTTAAAAAGTTAAAGCCAACAAACATTGTGTTTGACCAAAAACATTATCACCCCAGAGAGATGTACTATGTTGCAATGCAAGACAGAAAATAACATTTGTTAAACAACAAGGGTGTTCCTTCATATCTGAGCGATTTGTCTGAGGGAGCAGAGAGAACAAATCGAAGTCAGAGATCGATTCGCTTACAGGAACTCTAAGTCTGTTCAATTAAAGCAGGATGCTTCCAAGACATAGTATTAATCTTAGTCTTATTAGTATTAGCAGTATTAGTCCCTCCAACTCTCTTTCTCTGTTTCATATGATTATTCACTGAAGAACGCCTCTATATTCACTCTCCTCCCTTGAATTTCAGCACCCATATTTCCCATCTCCATCAACCCCAACCATCAAGTTAGGCAACACAGTGCTGGCAGAAAACAGCAAGTTTATGACATTGTCCTTGGGAAACAAATTTCCAATGTACAGATGTGAAAACTGTGATTAAGGGGGGATGGCAGTGTCTTTGCAAGGAGAGAGAGACCAGCAGGACAGCTCTCTCTTTCTTTCTGGAATTTTCTGCTGCTGTCAACTTAGATCTCCTTTTTGTAGAAGGGTGTATAAAAAGTTGACATGAGGTATAATGACTTTTGTGCAACACCTGTCTCTGTTTGTTTAAGAAATAAATGGTTTCTGGTAGTAACATAACAAACCATGATGAAAAAGTAAGGATGTTTGAAGTCTATATTGGCAGTCATTCCCATGACTAACACAATGTAATAATTTCATCAGCTCCACTAATCAAAAGAAATGTTACAGTACTGTAGGGCATGTATCCACCTATGATCACATCCAGTAAGATGTCTTCAGTGTCTAGTAGTGCAGGATAGTAACTGAGGGCTATTTTTCACAAAGACCGAGACCTTTGACGCTCCAAATAAAGCCACTTTACACATGGGCTCTTGCTTAGGGGCCCCCTCAACTCTTGGGTCCATATACCTGTATCCTTTTGATTCGATAATATAGCCACTGTGCTTTTGTCTGCATTACATTTATTTCCCCATAACAAGTTTCTCTTTACAGTTTGTTGTGCATGGTGATTGAAATGACTATGGAAGGCCTTCAGTTCATCTGCTGTATACATGATTTGAAGTTAATAGGCAAATACACTCAAAAACAATGGCATGCTCTACGTCGTCTCAGGGGAAATGAATTCAGCCCTTACAAACACATTATGTCAGTCATTTAGGCAATTCTATCATGACACACTTTGCATAAATTAAGTTGATCTAGGGCAAGCACTATAACTACAAAAAAGAAATTGACTGAGAAAAATTCCCTGCATCGGTGTGGCACAAAGTATGAAGCTGGCTGCTTAAGTAAGTTTCACTCCATCTCAGCATTCCATATTTAAATAAAAAAAAAAACATACAGAAACGTTTCATACATGAGATAGCTGTGCTTGTGTTACTTTCTTTGGAGTAATTGTAAACCACATGTTTCACACAAGTTTCTGGGAGAGCTTTAGGCACTGCCATTGCTCAATGTCAAAAATGTTTTATAGTTGTCTAATCCCACATCAAAAATCAAAATAGATATACTTTTCACAAATGATATCTTTCAATTGGACTGACAGCTTTCTCTTAAGTAGCTGAAGACCGCAACCTCCACATCCTTTTAGAGAATTCCAGGCTTCAGTGTCACCTAATGCCAAAAATGAGAGCTATTTGAACAAGTTGGACCCAACGTCAAATATCCCAGCCTAAATTCAAACACACAGAGACACTTTTCACAAATAGAGCTATCTGCATCAGCACTTGGCAAAAAAGGGGAGGAAAAATTCTGCCCTCGCACCTGGTAATCATTACGGAAATGAGAGACAGAAGAGGTTAAAACGCTGTGATGGAGGAAAAAGACAAGAAATTCACACTTCTGCGCTGGGACTTGCTAATGTCTCTGACCCCTCCACGCATAAACAGTTTAATTAACATGTATACATAACTTTCACTTTAACTGCTCATGGCATGTCAAATCAAAGTGTCTGTCAGTGCTGTGAAACAGGGAGTTGATACTTTGCAGGTCCTCAGTTCAAATCCAGCTCTGTGTAACTGCTCCAGCTGGCCAGAGAAGCTGGCAAGAAGACATGAAGGCAGACAGACGGGCAGGTAGACGGGCAACCGGCTACTCTGTCAGTTTGATGAGGTAAACACCTCCCAATAAAAGCTTTGTAACACACAAATGAGCTTCGCCCAGGCCAAGTGGCAAAAAATCCTGAACTGAACTTATTATTATTTTATTTTCGATCTCCAACTCAAACAACCTCTGGTAAAACTGCAAGCAATACATACAATCCTGACAACTGGAACTTTTTTAC